TTATCTACTCATATTTACATATTACATCTACTTAATATATACTTATATAGATTAAAGTATTAAATATAAGTGTATTACTCATCTTATAGTAATATACTTATATATTACTCCCTCCGTCCCTTAAAGGTTTGTCATGTTTGACCGGCACGTAGAATAATAAAGTAATAAAGTAGAAATTTGTGCAGATGAGAGAGAAATAACAGGAGCCACAAATTGATTGATTAAAAGGGAAAGTGACAATGTTTTTGGGACAACAAAAAAGGAAAGTTGACAAAGTTATAAGGCATGGAGGGAGTATATACTATAAACATTATATTATATACTCCCTCCGTCCCTAAAAAGATTGTCAAGTTTGACCGGCACGTAGAATAATAAAGTAAAAACTGTGTGGTAGAAATTTGTGCAGAGGAGAGAGAAACAATAGAAGCCACAAATTGATTGATTAAAAGGAAAGTGACAAAGTTTTTGGGACAACCAAAAAAGGAAAGTTGGCGAAGTTATAAGGGACGGAGGCAGTATTAGTTAAACAATTATTATATATACTTATATACTTATAACATATTATTTACTTATAAATACATATATTAAGTACACACTGTGTGCTGATTTTCCAAAAGTCATAACTTTTTACTCATAATGAATTATGGGGGCCATAATATATCAAATCGAAGATATTTCAGAACTCTATACTCTTAAACTTTCAGCGGGGTCGGCTGACCACCCTGACCCCCTGGCTCCGCCCCCGCGCCCACACACACACACACACACACACTGACACACACACACACACACACATATATATATATATGTATATATATTAAACTATTAAGTATAAGTGTACTACTCATCTTATTGTAGTATGCTTATATATTATATACTATAATCATTATATTATATATTAGTTACACTTTAAATAAGAGTAATTAAATTCATCCTATTACTTATACACTCACACTCCAATTAATTTAGTTTACACATTCATACATTTTTTATTAATATTAGTTAATTAGTTAATTGGTACATTTCTCATTTTCCTATTATTAGTTCATTGGTATATTTGTCATTAAAGTATAAAAGTAGTTAATTGTTAGTTGTTACATTTCTCATTTTCCAATTAATTAAAGTCATACTTGTTAGACAACAATTAGTTAACTAGTTAGATTTTTTACTTCCAATTTATTCATTTAAAAAAAGTACTAGCATTTTATTTAAAAAAATAGTTCAAATTTTTTCATTAAAATAATTAGATTTAAAAAAATTGTTCGAATTTTACTTCCAATTACTTTCGAATTTTATAACAAAAAAATAGTTAGATTTGTTTCATTAAGATTTCATTAACAAAAACTAGTTATTAAAAAAACTAGTACGATATAAAAAAAAAATAGTTAGTTTTTTTTTTTTCATTAAACAAACTTGTTAGATTTACTAAATAGTATTTAATAAAATAGGTTTAAATAAAAAATAAAATTTATAACATTTCTTATTAGTTGCATTACTATTGTACTAATATTGACATATTTGTTAGAATTTAATATTTGTTACATTTTTAAGATGGAACGTGGTAGAGTTCGGTAGATATGGGTAACCTCAACCGCAACCGGAAGGAGATTGAGAGGAATCATCCTAGTTCACGCAAAGGTAAAGGGCGGGCCGGGTCTTCTTCTCAAAGTTGAGATGATTTTGATACGGATTACCGGTGGAGAGATACGGATTATATGACCGACGAGCAAGTAGCTCAACTATTGAACCAACAACATGGGCGCTTTTACCAACAATATGACATCCCCGAGGTTGAAGATGAGCTCGAGGATGACGATGCAGAGGAGGATCCAGTGACGGGCGAGGGTGAGGGTCACGACACCCCAGACGATGAGGAAGAGGTCGAGGCCGAGGACGATGGTGGTTCATCGCAACCCGCTAAGAAAGGTAAATCACCAATTATGGAAAATAATTTTGATAAGGTGAAAAACAAGAAAACCGAAAAATGGTACGCACATTGCAAACATTGCCCTAAAGTGTATAGTTTGGGAATTTTCGGAGGATACGACAGTTGCAAAAGGCATCTTCAGTCCGCTCACCCCGTGGAGTATGCGAAAATAGACAAAAGCAAGGGGAAGCAAACTCAAATAACGAGGTTTGGAGCTATCCAACCCTTTGGTAATTTCTCCCATGATGATCAAAGACATTTGACTGGTATGTCTCACTTAATTGTTGAAGAATATTTGCCTTTTATTTTTTCTGAAAGTCTTGCTTTCAAAGAATATGCTCAAGGTACTTTAAATCCTCAATTTCGAAACTATAGTCGCAAAACGATTAAAAAAGAAGTTATAAGGCAATATGTTTTGGGAAAGGAAAAATTACAAACATTTTTTGCAAACTTTGATAGACGTGTTAGTATTTGTAGTGATATATGGGAGGATACTCATCATCATTTATATTATTTGGGTGTGACTGCACATTATATTGATGGTGATTGAGAAATGCATAAATGTGTTCTTACTTTTCTTGAATTTAATGATTGACACACCGCTGGTAATATTTATATTCTGCTTGAGCGTATTTTAATTGAGTACAATTGATAAGGTGTTTGCTATGGGTTTTGATAATGCTAGTAAAAGACGGGCTAACCGCGTTGGGAGATGCTATGGAGGTAGTGAAGTGGGGGATTAAACTTATTTGGGCTAGTAATCCATTAAAAATGCAATGGCGTCAATACTTGAGGGATAGACGTGTCAAATATTGTGTTTTTCCTAAAGATTTATCTATTCGTTGGAATAGTACTCATAACTTAATTGTTGTACTTAATAGATTTAAAGACCATTTTCCTGCTTTTTTAAAATAATATGCTAACTATATTATAAACCCGGCTGACATCGACAGTATGGAAAAAATTGTGAATGTTTTGGTGGTTTTTAATAATGCAACTCAAACTTTTAGTCATGTTTATATACCTACGCAAACCAATATTTTGTTGAAGTTGTTTATCTCGCCGGCGCTTTTTGTGACTTTTCTGATGCCCCTTACGTTAGTTATTTTTATTCTTACATGAAAGAGAAGTTTTTATAATATTATTCACATATTCCGCATATATATGGTATTGCATTTATTCTTGATCCTCATTATAGACTTGATTCTTTGGGGCAATGTTTAGATTACTATTATGCTTCTTTTTTTTGTCCATTTCCTATGTACGAGGATTAGCTCATAGACCCTAAACAAGAATTCCAAGATGTTAGTAATTTATTATATCAATTATTTAATGAGTTTCATGCACAATATGGTAATGCACCCCCTCCCCCGAAACGAACATCTTATTCATCTAAAGGAAAATCATTTTTTAAATCTGCATTTGGGAACCTTATGAAAAAAAGTAAATCAACTCTCGTTACTGAAGAAAGCTCGATTAACAATCTTTCTTTGTATCTAACATTTTCTGTTGATTATGAAGAAGGAGATGACTTTGACGTTCTAAAGTGGTGCAATGAAGAAGAAAGAGCGTTCCCAATTTTATCAAAGATGGCTAAAGCAAGTACTAGCAATACCGATATCAACAATTGTCGTGGAACAAAAATTTAATACGGCCGGCAACATGTTAACGGATTATAAAACGAGATTGAGTGCGAACTCATTTGAGAATTGAGACGCTTGTTTGCTTCCACAATTGGTTGAAGGCCCAACGTAGAACTCAAGACGTGCGCATCACCCCCACCCGCCACTTTATGAAGGAAACAATCGAAGATGGCGGAGATTCGGATGGATTATTATTTAGGAAAAATTGATTGTAATAATCTCAACTATTGACGGTTCACTCATAATAATCACAACTATCGATTATTTCTGAATAATCCCAACTTTAGGGACCTTCCACCAATAATGGTCCGACGTAACCGATTATAAATAAATTCATATAGTTTCTAAAAAGATATAGCAGGTAATCTCTATAAATAATCCCAAACTTTAACTTTTACGCTTAATTTCTATTAAAAATTCACTGGTTAGAGCAAGTAATATGCGGTCATGGACCATTATTGGCGGACGGTCCATATAGTTAGGATTATACAAAAAGAATCAATTGTTGGGATTATTATAAACGGACTAGGGATGGACTCGGGTCCGGGCCTAGGCCCGGGCAGGCCGGCGGTTCAGAAATGGTGGACCCGGGACCGGCCCGGGTAACCACCGGGTCCGGGCCCGGTCGGGCCAGGCTGGGCCCATTATCATTTTTTTTTTGTTTTCCTCTTCCTAATTAACCCCCATCCCACCCCCAAACCACCCCAAATGGCCCAAAATACCCAGCCCAACCCGAAAATTGAAAAAAAAAAATGAAAAAAAATAGTTTTGGGCCCGAACCGGACCCGAGCCCGGCCAGGTCGGGCCTTGTTTTGGGTGACCCGAGCCCGGACCGGAAAACCCACGGGCCGGGCCTACCCGGACCGGTCACTGACCGGGCCACCGGGTCAGGCCGGGCCGGAACAGTACCGGTCCCGAGTCGGGCCACCCGGCCCGAGTCCATCCCTAAAACGGACCGGCAAGGCGACAATAGTTGAAATTATTATTTTCAATTTTTCCTATTATTTATTAGAAAATGTATTTCATGTTTTAAATTTTTCTCAATTCTCAATTGTACTACATATTTCAAATAAATATACTTTAACTTTTTTATATCCAACAATTCTTGAATTAATTTGTAAACAAAAAAAATTACCCAAACATGGCCCGACCCAGCTCGTACCCAACCCACTACCCGGCCGTGTAGCCCGGCCCGAACCGGACCTGGTAGGTACCCAGGCCGGTTCCGGGCCTCAATTCCCCAAAAAACCCCGGTCGGGCCCAGCCCGACTCCATCCCTAGGTTAGGTAGACATTAGAGAAAAGACAAAGAATATTCAAATGTTTAGGTGTAGCGTCAAATGAAGGCAAACAATATATTTAGGTTTAGAGAGTGCAAAAACCTACTCAAACCATATAAAGACAAAGTGTTAATCGTTTGTTCATGTATTCATAATTTGTCCCCTTGAAAAATGAAACTCTCTACGAGTAACATGTGTATCTTTCTTTTTCTTTAATCTTTCTATTGTTTCTCGTTATTTTGTTTTAGTCAGATTAGAACAGCAGCAAAAGTAAACAATAATATATAGCAGGAGGCATGACTCATGAGTATGAACAAACTCTACTTTTATAATACAACACTGTCACACTTTCTCTTAAATTAGAAATGAACATACAACACTCAGATTACAACCGCAAAATAGTTCTTAGTGTCTCACTAAGGTTCTGAATAGTCTGCTGTTCTTGGGTAGCTTGCATATCTTGGAGAGGCATCTCTTCATAACACCTGCAATGGTTTGTTTAACGGATCAATAAACATTAACGATTTTAACACACCAGAAACTCTTTTCAGCGTGTACAAAGCAAACGATTGTTGCAGCTTCTTTTGTACAATGAGAAAAGTGGGGAAAATAAGTTCTTGACTGACAGAAGATACTTTCCCTGGAGAATACTTCCCATATTTTCCTATGTTTGAAGGCAAAGATAGTTTGCTTGAGTGATTGTGTTTTCCTCGATTTGTTGAATTCAAAAGAGAGCTATTTTCCTAAAGCCGCTGTTTTTTAAATGGATAAACAATAATGGTCCGTTTGTTCTGAGGTGAACCTATGTTCTACTAGATTTAATTTCGGCATCACCTCATTTGTTTAATAACTTATTACAAAAACCCATGTTTGTCTCAGAGAATTTTATACAAGTAATTTTAACATGTTCAGCTTGGTTAACTTGCATCCAAATGATATTTTACGGCATTTACATGAGGTAACCCAATATTCATTCAAATAATATATACTTCTTATATATATACAGGGATTAGTTCAAATAAAAAGAAGTCTTCCAATGAAAAATGAGAATAAATCAAGGTTTTTCATTGTTTAAAAATGAATGGATTAGATCAATTTAAAAACGTGCACTCATGCCAGCTTAAATTTTCTATCACTATCTTATAGTCATATACAAATTGTTTCATATAGGGATGCACTTTTAAATCATAAATGTACTTATTCTAAATCCAGATACAGTTTTATCAGCACTTCCTTATTAAAAGTTCTCTGTAATTGAAAAAATGCCACCGCATTGGGGACTTAAATTTTGATCTCATCCGCCCATTCTGTGACACCAATGATCAAGATTAATTCTCAATTTTCACCTTAGATGATATTTTTATCGAACCAATCCCTGTGTGTGTGTATTTAGGTTTCACCCAGTTTCACTTGACCTAGGTTTCTGGTTTACTTCATTTACTCTATCCAAACGGACCATAAAGTATATCCATAGAACAGCTTACTTTCAAAGATCTTTTTATCATAGAATCTTTTCCGTGAGACAGAAAATAAACCGAGTCAAAAAGATAGTTCATACATCCTGTGATAAGCCAGGGCCTGCGTGAGATTCATTAGCGTGGGACTTGATGTTAATCTTCTGTACAAACTCGGAGGAAGTGGAACCTGAGACCAATTATGCAACATAATTAGTAAGCAAACAATTCAAGGGGTGAGAGGGTGGGCTAGAAGGGGAAAGATGTGGTGCAGGGTAGAGAAGTCCATTACTACACCCCCTGCCACACACACACACACACACACACACAAAATCAACCAAAAATCATCACAACAAAAATCCTATTTGATTAAATGAAACAAGTTTTGCATGTGACTTCTGACTTCGCAAAAAAGAGTCGCAAAGAAGTTAAATACGACAAAGTTAGTTAATCCAACAACAACAAACAACAACAACATCCAAGCCTTAGTCCCAAAAGATATTTGAAAATAAAATAAAATGAATAACGTGTATAATTTCATGACCATAAGCAGAGATGGAGACAGGGGCTGTGGATCCCACCACCCACCCACCTCCCTGATTTTGTTCACCATTTTATATATGCAAAAAACTGACTCCAGGCAATGCAAATCCTAGCTGTCCCTGCTTTTAAGAGTTGTACTTGTCAAAAGTAACAAGTTAAACCATAACTAAGCATGACTTTTCGGGGACAAATGGATAATTATTTAACAATTTAAGATGAAAGAAACAAACAACCGACCTCATTTTGTCTACTTCGGCCTTTCTTTAATTGAGCATCTCCAGTTAAGAGCTCCTGAACTGCATCCACAGCTATATGCCCACTATCATCTCGTTGCCAGCCCCCAAGCACGTTTTCAGATAAAAGTGCGATGGGTGATATATCAGTTGCCCTCAGGAAGGGAATCGGAACTGTGTTACCAGCTGAGTATATTGACCAAAGCTAGCAGCACAAAGGAAGATATAAAGCATAATGAAAAAAAAGCCATATATATGCAAATATCAAAACCGCCAAGGGGTAAAGTATACCTTATCCAAAGCTTTTCTATTAACAGTTTCATTCTTCAACGGGGCTCCGCTTTGAGAAATGTATCCCTTCTGATCATAACTAGGGGATGTTGCAGGGGAGGGGGTTGTTTGTACATGTCCAGGAGGCTGAGGAGCCACTACAGGGGAGCTAACATTAACCTCATTTTGTACCCTGATGGGATCAAATAGTTCAATTAGAAAAAATATCCACTTTACCTTCATTCTAGACTTTAATAATGTTCCATTATCAATTAAAAGGGACTATTTTATAAGAAGTGCATTACAGGGCAATGAATGGACTGCATGTACTATTCATTTTTTTTTCTTTTTTGTCCCCTTGTAGAAATAACCCAAAATTATTCAGCAAGCATAAAAAGTAGCTGTTTGACAACTAATAGGAGTTGAAAAGGCCAAAGGCTCTCTATAAGTTCTCCACCAAACAAGGCCAAAATATCCAGGCAAATGAGTGGAAGACTAAAATATTCACACTATTCGCATGCTGGTATAGTTTCTACAGATGGTAAAAATTGCATGGACAAAACTACTGATGCTGTACGGTCATACCATTCAATTCATGCCTACATATTCCAAACCAACACATTAGTTTTCTTCAATTTTGACACCAGAAAAAGAAATAAGACAATTGACATAAAGGGTGTGTTTGGGATTTAGCACTTAGCGGATAGCGGATTATGTTAGCGGATTGTGAATAGCAGATTCAGTCAGCGTGTTTGACTAGCAGAATAAGTTAGCGAGTTGTCAGAAGATGTTTGGTAATTTAGTTGTTTGACCATAAACTTAGTAGAAATGCCATATTTCAAAATGCTAACTCAAAACTCTCCTATTTGAAGCGTTTTCATTTCAGCGTTTCCGTCTAAAAACGCTAATGCCGAACAGCTATTTACCAAACAGCTTTTTCACTTATTGAAAACGCTAAAAGTGGTCAAACCGCCATTTTCTGCTGAAACGTCATTTACCAAACACCCCCAAAATCTATTAAAGAACTTATCAGGATGGTCATGAAGTTGAAATAGCGGTTGATAAAAATCATCAAATTGTTATTTACTTTGTTGCATAGGTTTATATGTAGCTGAAGAAGCATTAAATATTTGTTGGAAGCACTATCTGCCCTTTTAACCCCTTTTTTATGTGTAACCTCAAGGAAAAGAGAAACTACCAAGGTTCACTTTCTTTGTCACCAGAAGTACGAGCACTTCTAGTATTCCTGAGAGTAGAGGATGGCTCAGAATTTGCAAATGCAGTTTGAGTAACAGTCTTATCTATGCCAACTCCATCTCGAACGATCATGGTCCCATAGTCACCTGATAAAGAACCCCCAAGAAGTCATCATTTCTCAGAATAGTTTACATTTGTAAAAAGTAAAACAAGGCTGCTTAGGCAAACTGGCTTGTGAGATCAAAAGGTAAGCATAACCAACAGAAAACTATACATTATAAATCATCTAAGCCATAGTTCAAATGGTTGTTACATTCATAATGACATAATCTTACACTGGATGTCTGGATTAACCTCAGGTGAGAGGTCAGGTGTTCAACAATAGGGATTAATCATCATTTCTCAGAATAATTTACATTGGTAAAAAGTAAAACAAGGCTGCTTAGGCGAACTGGCTTGTGAGATAAATATGTTAGCATAACCTATACATTATAAATCATCTGAGCCATAAAGTTCAAATGGTTGTTACATTCATAATGACACAATCTTACACTGGATTAACCTCAGGCGAGAATACAGTCAAGTGCTCAACAATAGGGAATAGGGATGCCATATAAAGTGACATAAAATAAGTTTTACCTTCTCCAGTAGGTTCCACCAGGCTTTGAGAACCAGATGCAGGTAACACACCATTGGCAACATTTACCTTAGAGGGAACAGTATCCCCAAACTCTTCATTCATTTTTAGGCCTCCAGCTAGCTGCAGTAACACAAAAATGGCAGGATCATTTTAGTGATCGGAGGGGCCATACAAGAGCCGAGTATAGAATCAAAAGTTAAGGCATACATCTGAGCCGGGTAATGGCGGGTCTTGAACAATAATTTGTGCTTCCAAAGCCATTGACGACCTAATTTTCTTGGCCTTTTCAATCTTGTGAACCATAACAGATGCTCTACTTTTGCATTTCTCAATAAATTTATGCTTTCAAAAATGAAAAGAAAAATGAATTAGATACATAAAATTAACTTGAAAATTGCTGAAGGGATATCATACTGCAGAACTAAGTTGTATGGTAAGTTGGTAACAGCTCCTTCATAGAATTTAGAACCCCATTGAGTAATCAAACTGCTTTATAAGATGCATCGTGTTGTTTTTAATACAATATATAGTCATGGACCTTGGTCATATTGCATGATCTGCATGGTGGTTTTGCAATATCAATTATGTAATGGGCATGACAATAGCAGATATTCCAACTTATTGCTATCTCCTGAGAGTTCCATCACTCCATGCATGTCAAAACTCAAAATAACCAATGATGATGACAGTTTCAAACTTTCATCATCATTTCTTGTCCTTTTTGCGACAAGGAGGGCATCCGGCATAAAACATTGTTGCTATCCTTTTTGCATGAATTTATTGTGTTTTAATTTTGTATAATAAAGTCACACTATAAAATTAGTGCCACTGACCCCAACCAGTGACATGAAAAAATTAATACCATTGACCTGAATAGATGACTATGGTGCTAATGACGATGATGATGATGATGATGATGATGAAAACTCAAGGCCGGTTATTATACATATGGTACCACAACGGTTGGCCCAAGGTTTTGGTTATTAGTAGTCTTCAACCTGGCAGTGTGGGGCTAAACTAAATTTTCATCACTTAATTAAATAATGCCTTTTTGTAATGACTTTCAACTTTCAAGCGACTGCCATCTTAGGGCACGAGAGAGACAAGCCATCTACTCCCTACTTCCTTAAAAAACCTTGCATTTTCCTCCATCCATCTCAAAATAACTTCTTATTTCCTTCTAAGGAGAGAGTTTGGCTTATAATTTTTCAATTTTCCTACCTTTCTAGATAAAATTAACCACTCCAACTTTTTTAATAAGCATGCCAAAAGAAATAAGTTAATTCGGGGATGGAGGGAGTATAAAGTATCATGTGTACTCTAGTATTTGTCTATTAAACCGATAGTGTACCTTAAGCATCTCTGCTGCAGTTGGACGAAGACGAGGGTCCTTCGTAAGGCATTTTGCAATAAAGTCATGAAACACAAGAGACCTGATGATACACAGATGCATAAAGAACATATAAATTGAAGCATATATGTATTTCATCCTTATTGAAGTGGAATCTTTCACCTCAAATCATGACAGAAAACTAATGAGGCATAGCAAAGTAGCAAATGCGAGTCAATTTCCATCTACACTATTGTCAAAATTCATCTTTCAATTAAAAAGACAACATTGTAACAATGCCTACTATAGTAGTAAGTAGTGAACTGCAGCTATAGTTCATCCAACGGCCAAATCAATGCCCCTTTGATTCCTAAACTTTCTTGTTTCTTTCTCTTTTTCATTTCAAGCTTCTACCCATTAAATTTGAACCTTTCTTACACGTTAGCTTACGTGGCACAGGCAAACATATCATGTCATACTTATGGCAGATTGGCAGTTTCTAGAATAGCTGAATTCATGTGATCTCTCATCCAGGCCTATCCATGACAAATTAGCTCCAAGCCCCAATGCATAGACAAGCTTTAGTTGCATTATTTATGTTACATTGTCACCAAGATATATGTGACAACTTGAGCTGAAAATGCACCATGTTCATTTTGGAAATGATACAAATAGCAATTAGGAAATGTTTTTATTTGGGCCTCACCAGTTGGTATCTTACCGCTTACGGTTCTGGGCTGGAATGTTTTGGCTTTATTTTTATGGGTTTCTCTTTGACTTTACTTATTATGCTCTTTGTTTTTTATGTGTTAAATTATTGGGGGAGGTCTCCTTTCCCCATTTTCTCTGCTTATTGATATTGTCTTCCATGTGAGAGTAATTAGTTGGGTCCCCCTCTCTCTGTATTCTATCACTTTTTAATAAAATTTGGCAAATGTTCCCCAGCATTTGCCCAACTGATTTTGGTGGTTGACCTTCCGGGTTTAAAAAATTGAGCTGAAAATGCATATTCACAATTGAAATATTCAAGGGCGACGTCGCCAGATATATCAGCTGGATAAACCATGAGTTATATGTGAGCTGACAATGCATATTCACAATTAAAATATTCAAGGGCGATGTCCCACCAGGTATTATAACATCAGAAGGGGTAGTAAACTTCGCATTGAAAGGGCATAGCATGGTCAAGAAAAAATACAATGCATAATGCTATTTTGAAAGGGTGGGTGTAGCATGTATGAAGAGAAGGAAGGGTGTAGGAAGCAATAAAATATATAATCAGAAACTAAAGAAACCTAGTTTCCTTGGAGCTTCTCTAAAAGTCTTGCAAACTTGACATGCATGCCAGGATAGGTCAGTTTGAACAAAAGTAAAGAAATAATGTCAAAAATAGGAGTGGCGACTTTTGACTAGACAAAAATAGGACCATTTTTGTGAAAGCAAAAAAGAGACTGGGACAAACCATCTGTGCAGTTTGAAACCCTTCGTCTCCATCCCATTCTCACCCATCTGCTCTTCAGCTGCTGCAGGTTTTCTCTACTCGCCGGCCACCACTTCAGCAGTAAGTACTCGCTGGCCGCCACTTCAGCACTCGCCATCATTTTCGTCTCTCTCTCCTGGTCTTCACGCCGTCGTCCCCTGTCATCACGGTCGTTCTTGTTCTTCTCTTTCTTTTGTCCGTGATTGGGATGTGAATCGGTGATTGGGCGACAAGGACTTGTGACTAGCAATGACTAGCGACAGGTGACCATTGGAGACGGGCGACCATTGGAGACGGGCGACGAGGATGATGGAGGAGATGACGACCGGCGATGACGACCCAGATCCAGAGTAGCGGCAGCAGATAGGGTTGGAGCAGAAGGGGGTGTGAAAGGTGCTAGGAATGGCCGATGGGGGCTGGAGCAGGGGAGGGGCTGGGGAGGGCGCAGGTGCGGGGCGGGTGATCAATGCCAGGCGGTGGAGGTCACTGGACGGGTTGATCAATGGCCACGCTGGTGACTTGTCAGATTGGTCATGGTCACTGGTCGGGTTGGTCACTGGTCGGATTGGTCATGGTTACAGGTCAGATTGGTTGCTAGTCTGATTGGTCATAGTTGTTGGTTGGGTTGGTCACTAGTCAGATTGATCATGGTCATTGGTCGGGTTGGTCATGGTCATTGGTCGGATTGGTCATGGTCACTCACAGGATTAGCCATTGGTCGGATTGATCATGGTCACGAGAAGTTTAATCCATTTTTGGAATTTTTTGAAAGTGGTCCTATATTTGTCCATAGCATTTATTTTTGTAAAATATATGGACAACCCCCAAAAGTAAAATATACAGAAGTTAACAAAGTATATAACCTGTGTAACATTATGGGACATTGTAAAATAGGGAAAATTATCAAATAAGCCCTCGTACTATACCGAAAAAGTCGATTAGGCCCTCGTACTTTACAAACACTCAATTAAGTCCTCGGACTATTAAAAAACGTTCAATTAAGCCCTTTCGGTCGGTAAGTAACCGGTTTCCCGGTTAAATGTACCTGTTTCCCGGAAGCTGCTGTTGCTGGAGTTCGAGCACATCGTCGCCATCATCGTCATTTAACCGGGAAATCGGTTACTTACCCACCAAAAGGGCTTAATTGAACGTTTTTTAATAGTTCGAGGGCTTAATTGAGTGTTTGTAAAGTACGAGGGTCTAATCGACTTTTTCGGTATAGTACGGTGGCTTATTTGATAGTTTTCCCTTGTAAAATATTATCCCCAAGATAACTTGAAATTGTGAATCGGAAAAGGGATAAAAATTAGAATCAACTGCATAGTAAAATTTAAATTCAAGTATTGCTCCAAGGATTAAATGCTAACTTAAATAATCAGGAACAAACCATTTCTCTTTATCCTCAAGCATTGGGGCAGGCTCAATTGATATCATAAATAGTACCTATCAAAAATTGAAATTGCATTAAGTATCTCACACCAAAGGCGGGGAACTTTTTTCTACACATTGGTTGAAATCATTAACTAATTTTAAGTTCTCATTACACTTGAAGATCAGAAACAAAGAGCTGCAGAAGTAGTTAACCTCCCTTGCCATTATGGATTCAATTAACAATGACAGTAGCAATTGCATATTCAGCACCCCAACATGAAACCCTACTTACAAGACGCATCATAACAGGACTAAACTAAATCTATTGTTGAGGTGACGAGCATCAGTCACAAGAAAATGATAAACAAGCTTTTTTTAAAATAACACTTGGGTAGTATGATACAGTAAATAAATCCTTTGGAACACTCACGGGCTCAAGTGTTAATTGTTTTGATGACTGGTCAACGTATATGTATTAATTGTTCAAAGAGGTTTAGTGATTCATCTGTCCATTGGCTAATGTGTAGTAGTGATAGGATCCTGTGAATAATCTCAGCAAAAGCAATAACACGCAAAACAGATCTGATAACAAAGAGGGAAATAGTAGTTTATTGATGAAGCAAGCTTCGACTTAGGCAACAAGTATCGGGACTCTTAGGCAACCGGGACTTAGGCAACAGATAATCAAAATCAGTCTACCTATTATTAGCTACCCAACTTATTATTTATAGTAGTAGGTCCACGCCAGGACTAAAATAGATAAACAGGCTCATTAAATGACCCCAGCCCACTTAAATGACCTCAGCCCCTTTTATTTCTCCTTTCAAATACCCTATTGAAATACTCAATAGGCAGATTCCTAACAAGTAGGATATCTAAAACCTCTGTTACATCATAGATTCATTAAAAAGCACAATGCTCCATGGTGTATATAAAGTTTTCATTGAAAAAGTTACAACATTTTCGCAGAATACTGTTATCAGTACATAAAGAGAGTAAAAATCATTAATAGAAAATACTTCCTCCGTTCTTAAATAAATGCAACGGTCAACATTTCACACTTGTCGAGACACAACTTTGACCATTAATATAAATGATTTTGTATTAGTAAAAAAATTAAAAAAATAGATTATGAAAATTTACAATGAGACAAGTTTAACAATATTTTTTTCATAAAATAATATTATTACATTAATAAATAAGACGTAGTCAAAGTAGAACATGTGAATAGTGTAAAAGTCAAAGTGTTGCATTTATTTAAGAACGGAGGTAGTATTCTCTGGAGGGTGCATATTTGAAGACTAACCCTCATAGGATGGACTGTTGCTCTTGGAGGTAGACCCTGCATAGTACAAGAGCATAACAGTAGCTCAGTTACTTCAGTATCTATAAGTATATAACAATTTAGCTAAACTTTCATGATTTTAGACAGCCAAATGCAGAGTAAATTGTTGGAATGTCAATAAGTTAGAAAGGATATCATGCCCCCCACCCCCAAAGGAAACCACTTTATCGTTTCCTATTGGCAGTTGTATTAATATAACAAGCAGGAAGTGCACATAGAGATTTAACTGAACCATCCCACGCAAATAGGAGTTCCCAGTGCAGTGAATACACCCACCTCTGCCATTTCAATTGCAGATACGCCGAGAGCCCACACATCAACCTAAGAGAAAATGGAAAATTTAAGCCAGCAGATAAAGTGCAAATAACTAGCGTGTAAACAACGTCACAAACAACTACAAGGAATACCTTTCCATCATAACGACTTTCTTGAATAACTTCAGGAGCCATCCAATGTGGAGTGCCGATAAACTAAAAATAATAACATGAAATAGTGCAATTTAGCAAAGCATAGCTCAAACAGAGGCCGGTTTTCGGATCTTTTCACATACTACCTCTGTCCCTTAAAACTTTGCCATGTTTGACTGGCACGGGGATTAATAAAGTAAAAACTGTGTGGTTGAAGTTTGTGCAGAGAGAGAGAGAATTAACTGGAATCACAAATTCTTTACTTAAAAGGGAAAGTGTCAAAGTTAGTGGGACATCCAAAAAAGGAAAGTTGGCAAAGTTTTAAGGGGCGGAGGGAGTGTCTATTTTTTGTGTTTATACCCAGGACTGAAATAGAGACAAATCTAAAAATCTATATTTTTAACAAAAGAAAGTGAAATATGCAGCATCAAATTATATGATAGCAGGTATTTCCATAAATAGAAAAACAAAACAAAACTGTTAGGCATACCGTGTTACGTTTAGACATTGTTCTTGTCAGCTGTGCAGCAACACCAAAATCGCCTGCTCATAATTTGGATAAATTGTTACACATGTTGCAGACTTGCAGTTCTATTTAAGCTGGCAATGGTACTCTTTTGACGAGTTACTAATGGGAGAAAACTAATCACAAATCAAATTAGCAGACAAAATGATATGCAATTAAATATTAATAAGACGTTCTGCAAAACCATAACATAGAAGCACAAGTTTCAAGACTGAACTTTAGAAGGCACAATAAAAGCATAGAGACACACCTAATTTAACCTCTCCTTGATCACTCAGCAAAATATTGCCGCCTTTAATGTCTCTGTGCACTTTAAATATTGAATGCAAGTAGGTCAAGCCCTGTATTAAACAGAAAACAACCCAGATGAATCTTTGTAAAACAAGACCGTTAAAATTTCAATCGTGAAAGAATGCTATTTTGTTTTATGCTACAAGTTGGAAAATATCTACAATGATTTAGCGATCAAATTTGGAGAAGCAAATAAGCTATAAACTAGCCACACTAGAGGTGTGAACAATACTACACTGGATGACTGGAATCATATGGTTTATTTACTTCCTAAGAACAACTACACTTGCATTTCGATGACTGTCCAAGATTTTTGGACTTAGGAAGGTAAAGCACAGAAAGAAGATTATTAATTGGTTTGGGGCTAGTTAGAAAGAAATACCATAACCTATTGTATTAATCAACTAAAATTAGATTTCAAGTTATTTAGGCACCACCAGGTCACTTAGGCACTTGAAAAAAAACTCATATATGCTATAAATGATGTGTGATAAATAACTGTTTTGACTTTTGACAGCCATGTGAATCATGTTATTGATCTAGGGTTGCTCTAAGATGGCTTTACAGCTCCTTAATACATAACACAGTTGCACATAACTCCCTCTGGTCTAAGCTATAGTGCACACTTGCTTTCAATTTAGTTTTTAATAAAAAAGTAAAAGTAAAGGACTTTAAAAATTGTTCCTCGAGTGGGTCAATAGTTTCAAGTTATTTATAAAAAACTACGATAGAGAGAAGTACTGAATTGGGAAAAGTAAAAGGTTAGCGATGTTTAAGGACTAGTTCTCTTTGACTTTTTTTCTGGTATGATCCTTTTTTTAACTTCGCCATGAGATCATTTTTTTGGTATCATGTCTGTCCCAAGCCAGGATAAAGGAGGAGGGTGCTGTGGTAGGCGCGTGACGGCCACCAGTATCACTTAGTCACATCACATGACATGAATCGAAATATGAATATCGCTACAGCTAGGTCGTCGCCCGGAAGTGATGCGCCACTCCAATGCCCAGGGATGGTGTCAAATATGCAAGGGCATGGTGGGGGTCGATGTGGGGTGAAGAAGAGAAGGCAGGGTGTTAGATTGCGCTTTGGGACATGGAATGTTGGCTCTCTTACAGGAAGATCATCTGAGATAGCCGAGGTTATGAAGAGAAGGAATATCAGCATAATGTGCATGCAAGAAACTAAGTAGGTTGGAGAAAAGGCACGCGAGATTAATCCTGGAGGTTTTAAGCTTTGGTACTCGGGGAGAGAGGAACAGAAATGGAGTAGGCATTATGGTGGCACATGATTATGTTGATGGTGTGGTTGAAGTGTTTAGGAAGAACGATCGCATCATGAGCATTAAGTTGATAATAGAGGATGAGATCGTGTCCGTGGTTAGTGCCTATGCACCACAAGTGGGATTGGATGCATCTATCACTCAACAATTTTGGGAGGATCTTGAGGAAGTGGTGCGACGAGTGCCAAGGGGAGAGAAACTGGTCATAGGAGGCGACCTCAACGGGCATGTGGGTCCAAGTCGTGATGGTTTTGAGAGTGTACATGGCGGACATGGTTTTGGCACTAGAAATGAAGCGGGGAAGAACATTCTGGATTTTGCCTCGACATATGAGTTGGTTGTGATGAACACTTGGTTCAAGAAAAGAGACTCTCACCTTGTCACCTATAGAAGTGGAGCTAATAGTACCCAAATTGACTACTTTTTAGTACGGACGACTTGGAGAACTAGCTACACTGATTGTAAGGTTATCCCAGGTGAGAGTGTTGTCACTCAGCATAGGATGCTTGTGCTTGATTTTCGAGGTAAAAAGAGTGGACGAGTTAAGGTACAAGGGGAGCCAAAGATAAAATGGTGGAAGCTCGAGGGGAATCTCCAACAAAGTTTTGCACGCAAAATGTCGGAGGAAGATGTTTGGTCTATTGATAATGACGCACACGTGGATGATGTGTGGTTATCAATGGAGTCCACCATTAACAAAGTGGCGAAGGAGATACTCAGAGAATCTAAAGGATGTCTGCCACCAAAAAAGGACACATCTTGGTGGAATGATGAGATGAAACAAGCAATAAGGGCCAAAAGAGAATGTTATAAGAAATTGGGCAAAAGTTGGAGCGACGAGAACATAGAGGAGTACAAAGAGGCTAAAAAAAGAGCAAAGAAAGTTGTGAAGGAAGCCAAAGGAAAAGTGAATAAGGAATTGTATGTAAAGTTGGATTCTAAGGAAGGAGAAAAAGATATCTACAGACTTGCTAGCCTTCGTGACCGTTGGACTCAAGATATCGGAAAAGTTAAGTGTGTGAAGGATGTCGATCAAAGGGTACTAATGGACGACGAAGAAATAAAAGAGAGGTGGAGGTAATACTTTGATACCTTGTTCAACGGGAATAAAGTTCAAGGTATTGATGATCTTACTATACCAAAGTGTATGGTAAATAGGGACTTCGTGAGAAGGATTCAAACAACAGAAGTTAAAGAGGCTATGAGAAAAATGGGCCGGAAGAAAGCAGTGGGCCCAGATGGCATACCGATCGAGGCTTGGAGAAGTTTGGGAGAGAAAGGCATCGAGTGGCTAACACGTTTCTTCAACATGATTTGGAGAAACAACAAAATGTCAGTGAGTTGGCGGAAGAGTACTCCCATTCCCTTATTTAAAAATAAGGGTGATGTACAAGAATGTGCTAACTATTGAGGGATTAAGCTTATGAGTCACACCATGAAACTTTGGGAGCGAGTGGTTGAGCAAAGACTACGTAAAAGTGTGAAAATTTCGGAGAATCAATTTGGTTTTATGCCTGGACGCTCAACAAATGAGGCCATTCACCTTCTTAGACAAGTTGTGGAGAAGCATAAAGACACCAAAAAGGATCTGCATTTGGTGTTCATTGACTTAGAAAAGGCATATGATAGGGTACCTCGAGAAGTTCTTTGGTGAGCTTTAACTAGAAAAGGCATATCACGTAAGTATATCAGCATCATCATGGATATGTATGATGCTTGTACTACAAGTGTCCGCACTAGTGTAGGGAGAACCGCAGAGTTCCCTATTACCATTGGAGTGCACCAAGGATCTGAGTCCTTTCTTATTTGCTTTAGTCATGGATGAACTTACGAAGTCAATTCAAGAAGATATACCGTGGTGCATGATGTTTGCCGACGATATTGTATTGATTGATGAGACACAATCCGGTGTTAAAGCAAAGTTGGAAGTATGGCGACAAACATTGGAGAGCAAGGGTTTCAAACTGAGCCAAAGCAAGACTGAGTATATGGAGTGCAAGTTCGGTGGAGGTAGAAGCAGTAGCAACAGTGGGATTACTCTTGATGGTAAGGAGATACCGGTGTGTGATATGTTCCGTTACTTGGGATTCATAATTTAGAAGGATGGTGAATTAGATGGAGATGTATGTCATAGAATCAGAGCTGGGTGGATGAAATGGAAAAGTGCTTCAAGATTTCTATGCGATCGAGGTATGCCGACTAAACTGAAAGGTAAATTTTATCGTACAGCAATTAGGCCGGCATTAATGTAGGTACCACATTCAAAAGATGAGTGTGACAGAGATGCGTATGTTGCGTTGGATGTGTGGACATATCAGAAAAGACCGCCTGAGGAATGAGGTAATCAGACAAAAGGTGGGAGTAGCACCTATAGAAGATAAGATGCAGGAGTCTCATTTGCGGTGGTTTGGGCATGTGCATAGAAGATCGAGTGATGCACCTGTTAGACGACTTGAGGGGTGGGGAGAAGAGTCAGAGAAGTGAGGGAGGGGAAGACCCAAACAGACTTGGATTAGAGTAATCAGAATTGATATGCGTCTTCTTGGGTTGGATGAGAGTATGGCTTTGGAGAGAGCAAAGTGGAGGGCACACATCCATGTGGACGATTAATGTCTTGTCTACCTTTCCTCTCTTGTTTCTTTTATCGTTTATCTTACTTCTTTTTATATTCTTATGTTATTTTTATCTTCTAGCTTTTTTATGCTCTTTTATTTATTTTTCTTTTATCTTGGTTATATTCTTGTGTTATTGTTATCTTATATTTATGTATCTTTATTTTATTCATTTTATCTTACTTTTTTTCCTTTTCTTGTCTGTCTTCTCTTTTTGGCATCGATATCATAGATCGATTCATGTTAGCCGACTCCAAATTCTTTTGGGATTAAGGCTTGGATGTTGTTGTTGTTGTTGATCCTTTTTTTACTATTATGCATATCGTCACATACTCTTTAAGTATTATTATTATCATCATCATTAATGAATATATTCATAACAAATCAATCACATTATATCAGACCATATCATGTAAAACCAGACCAAACCAAATCAAACTAGGTCAGGCCAGGCTACACAACAATACCATACCACCATTTCAATTTGGTAAAGTATTTTAATCAGCTGATTTGTTTCTTATGTTATAAATTAACTTATTAACCGATGGTGATAATGACATGTTTTTTTCAACGTATTTCAATACAACACGAGACCGTACCAATCCAAATCGAATCAAAGTAATCTACAGCATAGTTAGTTTTTTTGTGTTTTAAACGCGTACCGTTTTTTGAACAAAAAAACGCGTTTAAAACGAAAAATAATGATGGTCCGTTTAAAAAAGGAAAAAACTCCTACTTCCCGTATAAAAAGTATTTTTCCCGTATTTTACAAAAAAATAGAAACATGAACTATCAATTGAATGAATGCATTAAATGCATAGGAGATCAACAATAGCTTGAATGCAAAAAGGAAAACCTCCTCACCTTGATCTTGTGTTTTTGTATTGTTACAATGTAATTATTAAATACAAAAATCAATTGCATGGCAGCTAAAACTAGCATCCTAAAAGACTAAAACTTGAAATACTACTGGAATTCTTACGTTTTTCCAAACAAGCATATCAAAATTAAGGTTTTCTAAACCTGACATTTTTTTAGCATAAAATTTTACACATAAACAATAATAAGCGTAGCAGTTGCACACCTTTTCTCATATGTCATTTGTCATCTTGATGAAAATGATGAGTTTAACTTGAGTGTTATTTGATGATCATATAAAGATAATGACTTTAACTTATTTTCATTCTATTGTCATTATGCCTCATTTTTTTGACATTATTTTGCAAAATTATGTTTTGGACTTAATTACTATTTTTATTTTTGTCATCCACTTGCAATTACGAATTATTCTTGTATGTAGTAATAGGATTTGCTACTGGAATATGTCTATACTTATATTTCTTTTTACTATATACTATCCTCCGTATCTCATTAATTGCAACATTGGAATATATACACTATTCATGTACTTTACTTTGACTACATTTTATTTATTAATGTATGTGAATTATTATTTTTGAAAAATGTTGTTAAATTCATCTCATTACTAAGTTTTATAATCTGAATTTTATTTTATTTTACTAATACAGAATTAAATATAATGACGGTCAAAATTGTGCGTTGGCAAACGTAAAATGTTGACTGTTGCAACTAAAAAGAGACGGAGGAAGTATATTATTTTGTGAAGTATATAATTTAAATGTCCAAAATAATACCCGTATTTTTTGTCCGAATTTTTGTAACAAATATCGTATTATACACGGATACGTATTTACACGTGATACGTATTTACAAGTTTTTTAAAAGTCAACGTTTTTTCAACGAATATTTGACCGCTTTTCCATTCATGTTACCGAATAAAACGTGTACGTATTAAAACCTCGTTTAATTCTCGTACCGTATTTAACGAACTAGGATCTACAGTACCACACCGCACCAAACCAGACCACAAATAACAACTTCGCAGAACACACTTGAGATTTACGATATTATTAATAGTGCAAATTATATGATTGTTGTAATTTTTATAATAAACATTAGGAAAATAATATATAATAATAGTATGTTAGTATTACTGAATGTAATGATATTTATTATTATTGTTTTTTATATATATACAATAAGACAACCTCGCTTGTTTTTTCCAGTTGAAGAGAAGAGAACACATCTGATATTTCAAAAGCTTACAGTTATTTATTATTTTGAGACATGATTAAATAATGGAAAATAGGGCAATAAAATGATAAATGGAGTGATATATTTCAACACTCGCCCTCAACCTAGAGCATCTTATGTTTCGAAATTGTTATGACATTCACAACACAATTCCCTCCATACAAGAGACTTAACTAGACTTCATGGTCAAGCTGGCTTTACCTTGACTGATTTTTATAACTTCACCTTGAACACTTGAACCTCAAGCTTAAACTGAACTTCAAGCTTATCTTTAAGTCTTTAACTAGAACTATTAACTTCAGGTTGAGCTAGCTTGAATTTGAACTTAGATTCTTGTATTCAGCATGAAAATGAAAACTCTTAGACTTAGTTTTATTATTGATGTTTTTTTATGTCTCATCTCATATGGACCTTGGTTTAAAAAAACGCACCTGTAAGCGATTAATTTATCGCATATTCGCATCATATACCCCCAGGCGTAGTAGGTTCCAAGAGGTTGCTTATGGACATTCTGGTTATTCTTTCCATAGATCTCCCTCAAATCCTAAATTTAAATTTTTTTATCTTAAATGAAGTTGCAAAACGGTTCAAATAGGTTGCTTGAGTCATTGAAAATTTGAAAGGAGGTTGCTGCAGTGGGATCTAGCACTCTACCCACGATGAGTAGGGGGGGAGTATTTGACCTCTAACCCCTCATGCGGAGAAAGCTGAGTGGCTTTTTGAATGAAGCAAACCAAAACAAGTCTTCATGTCTGCGCAAAAAGCTACTGAAAGTGGAACAGTGGACAAGGACAAAGAATACGTGAAGACTGAAACGAGTATTAAAAAAATGAGCAGTATCTTCATACTTCAAAAAAATTGAAGAAAATGAAGATAGTTGTGTTGACAATGATAAGTAGAAATTAAGCTCAAGGAAGAAAATGATGCAACCTTCAAATGTCCAGTAGAATGCAGATTCCTGAATCCAGTAAGTTCTTCAGTCCAAAGGACAAATGGGAAAGAAGATCTGGTCTCAGAACTTAGATTAGGGGCAAGTATAATTTGAATCCTAAATCCTTATAAAACCTCGCCTCATTAATAAATCCCTAAGTTGCTTCTGCAGTGTCTGTGTTTCTCATCAAGTAAGGCAATCCCTTACTCATAGACCCTAAGGTTTACGCGTCAAGATATTCTTAAAGTGCCTCAATTGAGATCTTAATTGAGGTCACAATACTTGACAACACTGAATATGATGCCAATTAAATTCCCAAGTTCCCAGCCCACTAAGGTCACAATATATGTGGTTGAAGACATTTACGGGTTGAATTTGACTGGAGTGGTTGATAAGATAGAAGAAAAAAGTTGCCATTTTGTGCTTGGGTTAAACTATGGGACAATATGAAAGAAAAAAGTCATTATTCATGTTGTCGCCATAAAAAGTAGATGGAATCGAGAAAGAAGTGGGATTTTGGATTTTGAATAGTGGTGATTGTCAATCATGGTTCACCTACTCATTCCCAAGATAGAAGAGAAGAGGTCAAAGAGTAGAGAAAGAAGGAAGAAAGCACACATCTAGATTACAAGCTTATAACAGCTTGTGCACTAAACATAAAGTAGTTTATAGGGACACTAAAAGGCTATCACATTATGATAACATCGCTGCTTTGACACTTAAATGATCTATCTAGGGTTGCTATAGATCAATAGAAACATAATCTTTTTGGACTTATTCATCTTTCCACTTTACTTGAATCACATATTAAGGAAGTTGCATCAAATGTCTAAATCTATCACAACTGGTCTAATCTCACATTCTTACCAAATTTACCCATATTTATTAAGTCACTGCACATTTAAATAATGTGTCTTAATTATCCTTTCATGTTTTCCACGTTTCATATATAGTGTTGAAGAATACAACAACATCCAAGCCTTAGTCCCAAAAGATATTGGGGTCGGCTAACATGAATCGATACATGATATCACAACCAAAAGGAAAAGAAGGAATAAAGATAAAAAGATAAGCTATTATAAAAAGATAATATAAAAAAGATGAATATATATAAAAATGATAAAATAAAAAGGCTGCAAATAATGCATATATATATAAGGATAAAAAAACTAGGAAAAAAAAGATGAGGGAAAAAGATTATCAAGATCACTCCTTCACGTGAATACCCACCCTCCACTTAGTTCTCTCCAAAGTCATGCCCTCATCCAACCCCAGAAGAAGCATATCACTTCGAACTCCCCTAACCCACGTCTGTTTGGGTCTTCCTCTCCCTCTCTTCCTTGCCTCTTCTCCACACATCTCAACTCGCCTAACAGGTGCATCACTCGGTCTTCTACGCACATGACCAAACCACCGTAGGCGCGACTCCCGCATCTTGTCTTCAATAGGTGCTACTCCCACCCTTTGTCTGATTGTCTCATTCCTCACGCGGTCTTTCCTAGTATGCCCACACATCCAACGCAGCATGCGCATATCTGCCACACTCATCTTTTGAATGTGACATTGTTTCACCGCCCAACACTCTACGCCATACAGTAATGCAGGCCTAATTGTTGTCCTATAAAATTTACCCTTCAGTCTAGTCGGCATACCTCGGTCGCAAAGAAATCCTGACGCACTCTTCCACTTCATCCACCCTGTTCTGATTCTATGGGATACATCTCCATCTAACTCACCGTCCTTCTGAATTATGGAGCCCAAGTAACGGAACATATCGCTGACTGGTATCTCCTTACCATCCAGAGTAATTCCGCTATTACCACTACTTCTACCTCCACCAAACTTGCACTCCATGTACTTTGTCTTGCTCCGACTTAGTTTGAAGCCCTTATTCTCCAATGTTTGTCGCCATACTTCCAACTTTGCTTTAAGACCTGATTGCGTCTCATCAATCAATACAATATCGTCGGCAAACATCATGCACCACGGTAAATCGTCTTGAATTGACTCAGTGTTGAAGAATAATCTAAGGAAAATTTAAATGATGCTCCATACTTATTACATGTTTGGTTTCATGATATTTCTGCTTATAAACCTTCTAAACCTGATTTCCTCGTTTTAACTTCATTTCATTATACCTTTATAGTCTATAGAAAAAGTATATCATAATATTTCATTGGTAGTTGATGAGGTAAGATAAAGTAGATATATTGTCATTGATGTGATGGGGAGTGGAAATGTACAATACATTCCCTCCATCCCAGCATCCCTATATGAAAGGAATTTGAAAGATTGTTTAGACAATCTAAGAGGAGGGTATATTAATAAAAGTTTGCTCAAAAAAGAGTATAAGAATGGAGTTTGTTTTGCTTTTAAGAAACACGGAAAATTCTATATGGGATGGAAGAAGTACTGTCTTTGATAAATTTAAAAAAAAAAACTTTTCAAATATATTTTCAGATAATTCAAAGCATTCACCAAATTCAGTCATTTCAGACTCAACTTTAGCAAAATCATTCCATCACTTCATCCATGTCAGCAAAAGTTTACAATTGCCAACAGGTTCATATGTTCAAGCCAAGCTTACCTTCAATGCCTCTCTGCAAATGTATGCTATTTGGTATTCATCAAGTGGCTCATCGGTAACATTCATTAAATCTGCAACACTTCCACCCCCACAGTACTCCATCACAATCTGTAAACAGATAAATATGCTTATAAGACCCACACAAACAATAATTCCTGCACGTGGAATAAGAAAGTAAAAATTTTGTTGATGAGATTTGTGCAAAAGAGAGAGAAAGGACAACATTAAGCACATATTGGAAACGGCGAAGTTTTTGGGGGGCAAAATAAGAAAAGTTGGGAAAGGTGTGTAGGACGGAGGGAGTAATACATTATTTTGGTTTTACTCGTACTATCGTGATATAAAAGAAATACTCCATGTTTCAATAAAACCAGTTAAAGCATTAAATATCGTGATAATAGCAGTGTTCATACCCAAAGGTACTCTTCTCCTTGGTAGCTCCCAAGGTATCGAACAACATTTGGATGACTGCACTGCTGCAACATTTCTATTTCGCCCCGAATTTCTTCATAGCCTTCCTCCTTAAAGCATTAAATATCTCATAAGGTTATGCTGCAACACAAAAAAAAAAGAAACAAAATCACAGAGCTGGCACAATACACACCCCTTCACTCAATGATATCACTTTAATTGCAACCATTTCTGATGTTCTCAGGTCTCGTGCTTTGTACACTGCACCATATGATCCTTTCCCTGCCATTGAAAATGCCTCCCATATTCAACCAACCACCTTGTGTACCAGCCAATTTAACAAAGTAACCAACTACACATGATACAGGTCAATCACAGGATAGCAGAAGTACATAACCTAACAACATTTTAATTCAGTTACAAATTCTACTCATACGGCATCCAATAAACATCCTAGTGGAAATAGATTGACTGAATGTTGGCCAATGTATTTATCAGTATGGGCAAATGACAAGAAAAACCCTTGCATATGAAGGAATTAAAGTAAGAGGGATGACTGCGCTAAAGGCCATCTCTAGTAAGGCAAGAGGTAGAGATGCATCACTATTACTGCCGATTGCAAACTCCTATTTGAATCAGACTAGAGGCCAGAATTCAAATTTACCAAGCTCATGGAGCAATTCATACTTGGTAGACGGGTCTTCCTTGGTAATACTCTCAGGAATCGAGCTCGAAGAGACCTTGCTCCCCTGAGCCCTTAAATCCTCCTCAGGCGCCCACCCACTCCCGCTTTTCATCTGTCTTGCATGCCCGATCTCCCCCACGGCCTGCATGCTTGCCACAGCTCTACTCATGGTAGGCGATCCACTGGTTCCCCGGCTACCACTTTTTATCGATCTCGTCACAACTGTCCCAGAATCAAAATCACTCTCTTTCACCAAAAACGTCGAGAAATTAACTTCCCCATCCTCCTCTTCTTCGCCATCGTCCTCAACTCTCTGGCCGCTGTTTTTTCCACTCCTTTCCCAATACGACGCTGGCCCAGAGCTAGGCTTTCGGAACGGAGATGAGGGGTTCGAATACATCGAGCTGCGGCTAGTCTTGACTATCATTGTTCCGGAAATTGAGGCAGGCTCATCGTCAGAATCAGAGTCGGCATCGGACTCAATTGGACCGCCGCCGCCGAAGTCCTTGGGGAGTCGTTTGAGTAGCGGAGGGAGTGAATCGTCGTCGTTAGGATCATCAACAACGACGACGTCGTCCTTGAAGACCATCGTGGCGTAGAGGTCTAAGCTATCCGTTTCTGTGGCGACGTTTTTGCTCTGACGTTCGTTGTCCACGGTAGAGTAGATGTCCACCAGCTTCGGCGGAGGCGGTTTACGGCTGCGCCGACGCGTCGGAGAAAAGTCCATCTCTCAGTTGCACTGGACTGACCCGCGAATTGTTCGTCCAGAGTGGAGAGTCCACTGACAACTAACCATGGCACTTTTGACCCGACAGCTGGGGAACTCTGTCTGCGGTAAATTGAGGCCCCTCTCCTCTTTTTAGTTTTTACCACCAATCATTTTGCTGTGGTTTTTAACTACGCTCATTCATATTCTCAAAACAAAACTACCCTCGTTCATAATAATTGCTTAACACGGAAAGGTTAGTAAGTTTTGTCAATCTTTAGCAATGTTCTAAAAGGCGTAAGGGGTGCTGAGGCGGGACGTTCAAGTCTTAAGCCTTTGGAACCTAGGTGGTTTTAGGCGGGGTTTAGACGTGAAAAGACGTTTTAGTTATTTATCATTTATTTTAGTTTTCTTAGAGCTATTTTAAATATTAAGTGTAATGTTAAATAATGTTATTCAGAAACAATCATACTTTTTTTATTTTTAACAAAAAAAGATGTGTCGAGACCTAAATCCAACAAATATGAAGTAAAAAAATATCAATTACAAAAAAAAACTATAACTCAGAAAAGTAGTTTAATAAAAACAAATAATCCTAATATATGACCAATATAAGGACAATAGTTAAAATGTGACTTGATAACTTTTGCTGATTGAAATTACATTCAAACTTTTCATTGTAGTCAATATAAGAATATATTTTCAATCTATTTAATCCAGTGTTCTAAAAGACGTGAGACGTGCCGAAGCGACACAATCATCAAGCCTTAAGGCTCCAATGTCTAGACGAATTAATGTCCGGTGTACTAAAAGCCATTTTAATATTTATTAATTAATTAATTTTGTAGAAATATATTAATATATAAATGTAATATTAGCAACCATCTTGCAAAAACATCATACTATTACATTTTATAATCAAAATAAACTGCTATATTCCAAAAACAACACGCATTAATGCACATAGTATACAAATTTTAAGTATTGATAAAAATAGTTCAATGATAATATTAATCATAATAAAAATATAAGAAATAATGATTTTATAATAATTCTAATAATGGTTATGTAATAATATTTAATATTATATTGATTAATAAGTAATAACGATTCTATAATAATGCTAATAATGGTGAAGTAATTATATACCTGAAGTAAAAATTGTTGATCTCATTTAGCTTGCATGTATAATAAGGAGTATGTTGAGCAATATGTTTCATGAAATACCAACTACTACGTATTTTCTTAGGAGCTTAGTTTGGCACACTTCCTCCCACACCGGATAGACTGATAGAGGAACACATTCCTTCTTCCTAACACTATATATAATAGTATTGATGGACTCGGGCCGGGTGGCCCGACCCGGAACCGGCCCGGGACCGGCACTGTTCCGGCCCGGCCTGACCCGGTGGCCCGGTCAGTGACCGGTCCGGGTAGGCCCGGCCCGTGGGTTTTCCGGTCCGAGCTCGGGTCACCCAAAACAAGGCCCGACCCGGCCGGGCCCGGGTCCGGTTCGGGCCAAAATTTTTTTTTTTTTGTTTTTTCAATTTTTTTTAACTTTTCGGGTTGGGCTGGGTATTTTGGGCCATTTGGGGTGGTTTGGGGGGTAGGGGGTGGGAGGGGGGTTAATTAGGAAGAGGAAAACCAAAAAACAATAATGGGCCCGGCCCGACCCGACCCGGCCCGGACCCGGACCGGACCCGGTGGTTACCCGGGCCGGTCCCGGGTCCACCATTTCTGACCCGCCGGCCCGCCCGGGCCTAGGCCCGACCCGGACCCGGCCCGGACCCGAGTCCAACCCTATATAATAGACATCCCCTGCGGTTTGACTAAGTGAACTCGGCTTCCCCCATGTTTGCCAGTCAAAGAGCTTTTAAGCCCTTCTATGGATTGGGCTTGCATAAGTCAATTTTGTTTTTGTATTTTGTGGGCTTGAACGTCTTTTGTCACGCTTTTGGGCTATGCGGGGCGTAGTGTTGACGCCTTGCGCCTAGTCCCGCCTTGGTGGCGCCTTTATGGACCTTTTAGAACACTGATTGTTAGTAATGGAAGTTTTTATTCTTAAATTGACAAAAATATACTCATATTTTCTGAATTATTAATACTCATTGGATCATTTGTAGTGATCAAGAGTCTAAAATAGTAAATGTGGACTTCGTCTAAATGAAAACTGTGTTTTACACTCTTATTTTCTTGCATCACAGCACCGACAATAAAGTACACTCAGCATGTTAGTTTACATATCAATTTAGCAAAACATCAATTAAATTATTATAAGTAATATTTTTTGTTTAATTTTTTGTCTATAAAATTATGAAATAAAAAATACGAATTTTGACAATTTATATATGTAATATTGGTGTCATTCAAAAGATCATAAGAAACTATGAATTTTGCTATATTTTTTGAAAATTTTGAATAAAAAATAAAAAGGTTACAATAATTTTAATTTTTTTGGGTATTATGACAAAAGGAAACCTACGGCCAATTCCTTTCCCTAACGATTAGAACATCTGCTCCTCCTGTACACATCGCCTGACCTTTCAAACATCTCAGCCTCTTCGAATGAGTTCTGTATTTTTAAAATACGTTATGTCTGTACAGACATAAAAAAACCTTACACGGACATATGTAAAAAGTGTGTACACCAAAAGTGTGTACCCCAAGTCCAACTCATGTCCAATCGTGCCTTCAATTTTAAATTGATTTTGAATCGAGAATCCCATTCTACCAAGTAAATAGAGTATATTCTTTCTATGCTTAAAATCAAGTAAAATGCTAAAGGTACCCCAAAGTTGTATTCCGTTTTTACCTCACTCCTAATGTGTGATCATAAATGGGACAACTCATTTAAGTGGGACATCACTTAAATGAGTTGCCCCATGGCACACAATTAGGGGTGGTGTAAAAATGGGGTACAACTTTAGAGTACCTTTAGCATAGCTCTGGACCTTTGGTTGGTTAAACTGAAAAGACATTTTAAACTGCAAATACAAACATAGCAAATCACTTTTGGCTATGTTTGTATTTGCTTCTACTTTTTAAAAGGGATTTATTTAATACATTGTTAAAGAAGTGATTTATAGTAAAAGTAGATAATGTTTGTAAATAGAAGTGATTTTATTCAAAAGGTAAAAGTTGGAATGTTTGTAGATAGTTTTCAGGATACTTCGGAAGGTACATGGTCTTGGACATCCACAAACCGCGAAGCATGTGATTGTGAGGACAGAGATGGGCTCCAGCCCAGTCCAACTTTTTTTATTTTTTAATTAGTACTCCCTACATATCTATTTATTAGTCACACTTTCCTTTTTTGGTGTATCAAATTAATTGTCTCCTTTCCTTTTTTGGAAAGAATCTCACTCAAAAAACAGCTACAGTACCACTACAGTACAAAACATCAATTAAATTATTATAAGTAATATTTTTTGTTTAATTTTTTGCTTGTAAAATTATGAAATAAAAAATATGAATTTTGACATTTTATATATGCAATATTGATGTCATTCAAAAGATCATAAAAAACTATGAATTTTGATACTCCCTCTGTCTCTAAAAGGATTGTCAAGTTTGACTGGCACGTAGAATAATAAAGTAAAAACTATGTGGTAGAAATTTGTGTAGAGGAGAGAGAAATAACATGAGCCACAAATTGATTGATTAAAAGGGAAAGTGACAAAGTTTTTGGGATAACCAAAAAATGAAAGTTGGCAAAATTATAAGGGACGGAGGGAGTATATTTTTTGAAAATTTTGAATAAAAAATAAAAAAGTTACAATAATTTTAAATTTTTTGGGTATTATGACAAAAGGAAACCTACGGCCAATTCCTTTCCCTAACCATTAGAACATCTGTTCCTCCTGTACACATTGCCTGACGTTTCAAACATCTCAGCCTCTTCGAATGAGTTCTGTATGTCCAATCGTGCCTTCAATTTTAAATTGACTTTGAATCGAGAATCCCATTCTACCAAGTAAATAGAGTATACAAAAGAGTATATTCTGTCTATGCTTAAAATCAAGTAAAATGTTAAAGGTACCCAAGGTTATACCTCATTCTTACATCACCTCTAATTGTGTGGCCATAAATGGGGCAACTCATTTAAGTGGGGCACCACTTAAATGAGTTGCCCCATTTATAGCCACACATTAGGAGTGAGGTAAAAATGGGGTACAATTTTGGGGTACCTTTAGCATAGCTCTGGATCTTTGGTTGGTTAAACTGAAAAGACATTTTAAACTGCAAATACAAACATAGCCACAAACATAGCAAATCACTTTTGGTTATGTTTGTATTTGCTTCTACTTTTTAAAAGTGATTTATTTAATACATTGTTGAAGAAGTGATTTATAGTAAAAGTAGATAATGTTTGTAAATAGAAGTGATTTTATTCAAAAGGTAAAAGTTGTAATGTTTGATAAAAAAATAATTTTAGCTTAAAGGGAGTGTTTGGATTTACCTCAGAACTTATTTCAGTTCCAGGATACTTTGGAAGGTACACGTAAATTACATGGTACAACCGGTTGTACCTAGAGCATGGTACAGCCGGGTCTTTTGTAATTTATTCCAACTCTCAGAGCATTAGTAAGCTGCTGCTTCTCTTTTTTTG